ACACAGACACTAGCAGGTACACACAGATACTAGCAGGTACACACAGATACTAGCAGATCCACACAGACACACAAAGATACTCTCAGATACACACACAGATACTAGCAGGTACACACAGATAATGGCAGGTACACACAGATACTCACAGATACACAAAGATAGTCTCAGATACACACATACTCACAGCTACATACACAGATACTAGCAGATACACTCAGATACATACACAGATACTAGCAGATACACACAGAGATACTCACAGAGATAAGCACAGATAGACACAGATACACAAACAAATACACACACACACATATAAACACAGATACACGTATACACAGAGTTACTCTCTGATACACACACACACGTACAGATACACACAGTAAAATATTGCTCAACATGCGACAGGCCTGAGGAGCTTCTCAGGCCTCTCCTGCCTGCCACTGTGTGCTGCTCAGAGGAAATGAGACGCCTAAGTCCCCGATCCGGTCCCACCAGCTGTGTGTGATCGGTGTCCTCCCTCTTGTTCTAATCAGCTCTCTTTCAGTACCAGTAAAGATGACAGCAGCTGCCCCCCAAAGCGTTTGGGTTTCTCTTTCTGAAAGCGTAGAGCACCTCTTTCTGCAGCGCGGACAGCTGGGCCCCCAGGCTCTCAATCCTCAGGCTGGACTCCCTCAGGTCCTCGCGGGCCATGCTGGCCGAGGCTCCGTTCATCTCAGAGACGCGATGCAGGTCCTCTATCTGCACACAAACAGACGGTGGGAGACTCTGATCGAACCCTCGAAGAGGAACTCACAACGTCAGCCACTTCCTGATGTACAGGAAGCTGGTCAGGTTCTGCTGCTCCTGGAGGTAGTTCTCTCTACTGAGATTCAGACTGGTCTGATAACCGCTGGTAAAAAGACTCTGGTCGACCCCCGATCCGCCCACAGTACAGGAGTGGGTAAGCACTGTAAATGACATTTACCTGATGGAAAGGATCACCGTCTCCCTCAGACTCTAAAAAGGGGGCCAAGTGGGTTAAATGTGCTGGTTTGAAAAGACTGAAGGACGGAATGGGTGACCATGCTGGTATTTGCTGGTATTTATTTCTCCACTGTGAGATCAATAAAGCTCTTATCTATTTGAATGTTTTGTTGTATCTAAGGATTAACTTTACTTCAAAACTGCCTGGTGGACATTTTATTTATTTATTTTTTGCTTTTCCATGTAAATCTATATCCCCCAGTTTGTTCAAATTAGTAATTAACTTAACTTTGTATATTTGTGAGTGTCCTGAGAGTAACTACCACTGTATTGAAATGCTCTCGCTACTAAATAATACAAAATGTCAAGAAAATTAGATTTTTTGTTTATAACCGAGTACAGTGATCCCTCGCTATATCTTGGATCACCTTCTTGCTGCTTCATGGATTTGCATCGTGCTTTGTGTTCTGCATTCTGATTGGCTAAACACTCTCTCTGCTTCCCAGTAATTTAACGGTAATTTGTAAAAAAAATAATAATAATAATAAAGTTTATACAGGACTTTTATTTGTTAAACAAATGCTTGGGCCTGTAAAAAGGTTTTGTTCTTTGGTTTAAATGTATCATGGTGTAATATATATATGATAACGTATTCTGTGTTGTCATACTTTGGCCACGTAGGTGCTCTCCATGTTGTCCTTGTAGATCTGGATCTGCTCCTCATTCTGAGCCCTCATGTCAGCCAGGGCCTGCGTCAGTTTGTATTCATACTCCTCCTTCCGCCCAGAGTCCACCTCCACCAGCCGGGACTCGTAGCGATGCCGGGCCTCCTTCACCTCCTGCAGGGGGGGGGGCACAGGCAGTTCAGCAGGGGAGTTGTGAGTAAGTAGCCTACTTCCTTAGTTGTCAGACTCATGTTGAACAGGGACTTACTCTGATAACAACTAGCCAGCTGATTTAGGGGAGTCTGAATAACACACACTGGTTGGTAAAGACACAATGACCTGTTTTTTTCAAGGAGAAACACAAAATGGGATAAAATAATCCCACACAACTGACATTTTTACCGATAGCTTCATATTAACATGGCCGTCTTAATGGTTAGGACACAGACCTGTGGGCTAGGAGACGCTAATGCTAAAGGGTGACCACATTTAACTGAGAGCAGTTAAATGAAAATTCCCTCAAAAGGGAGAAGCGCTGCACATCAAGGCAGTTGTTTCCTCCCTGTGTCTCCTAGTGCTGCTCTTGGTGGAACTGTGGTTCTTCTGGAAATAACTCAGAGTGTGAGCTGCTCTGGTTAAAGCTGGGAGATTCCTGCTGCTGTTGTTGGGATCTGGAGCTACAGAGATAAAGCTGAATTGAGTTGATCCCTGAAGGAGTCTGCTGATGGGAGACCAGCCCTCCTCTGGGGCCGTCCCGGTCGTCCTCACCTCTTCATGCATGGTCTTCCTGAACTCCATGTCCTCCGTCAGACTCTGGCAGCGGTTTTCCAAATCCACCCGCCTCAGCGTTTCGTCGGCCAGGTGCTTCTTGGCCTGAGCGAGGCCCGTGTCCAACTGCCGCCATGCAAAGCAAGAGGAGGGACAGAAAGAAGGCGTTCAGAGGGAGGCGTCTCGCCCAGAAGAGGAGAGCAAACCAGACGGCCCCGGCGGTCCACCTCCAGCAGCTGCTCCTGCAGCTCGGCCAGCGCAGCCTCCAGAGCCTTCTTCTCAGACAGGGCCGTGGACAGCACGGCCTCTCTGGAGTTCAGCTGGGCCTCCAGCTCCCTCAGCCTGGCCTGAGCTCCGGTGGCCTCTGAGTCCCTCTTGTTGTAGCTGGCAGGAGGTAGAGACACAGTTAAGTACCGTATTTCCCCGATATAAGGTGCATAGAGACAGCTTCAGGGGCAATAACACCACCAGACCAGAACTCAGGTCAGCAGTTACCATATTTCCCCTAAATAAGGCGCACCGCGTTATGAGGCTGATAGAGCAGAAGCTCCAGTAGAGGCTGGGGCTGCGTTAGCATCCAGAAGCAGCTACGCTAAAGGGAAGCTCAGCTAACAGTCAGATAATCAGTCAGACTTTATTAACATACACAAACCAAATTAAACAACAATGTTTACAAGGTAGAGCAGCATTTTTATCAGTAGTGGAGGGAACTTTACCTCCATTCAGTAAATAACAGAAACAGGTACATCAGACGGTAGCATCACAACATATATCAGCTAGCATAAAGCTGTGCAGCTTTTCTTTAGAACTATTTGAACCAGCTGTTGTCGTAGTTAGGATCAGATTCAACGTTTACCTTTAATGTCCACATTTTTGAACAGCCTCCTTCTCTCACTGCGTCCACTTTTAAAATGGGGACTAACAGATATGGACATGGTGCAGTACTGAGGATCCCCAGAAGGGGGCGCCCTCCTCCGGCCCCCCAGACTGAGGAAACCCTACTGAGAGCAGTCCAGTGGCTTCTGACTGGTTTCTGACCCCTCAGAGGACCACAATGCTTCCCAGGCTTAGCTAACCAAACAGTCCAGCAGCATTCATCCAGGAGGAGGCCCCCCGCTCACAGCCTGAGTAAACACAGGAGAGCTGCTCTTCCTGTCCCACTGCCATGGGACCTAAGGCCTCTGGGCGGGGGCCGAGGGGCTCAGAGTTGGAAACTAACACTATCCCTGATGTGTGGAAGGAGCTGGAGAGTGGCTAACACCAAGCCTTCCACATGTAGTTAGTCCCAGCTGGACACTTAACAACATCACATTTAAAAGCTGTAGGTCACACAGTTTGTAGTCCATTCTTCTCTCTCATTGATTGAGATAGGGCTGGGATTTTTAAATGATTGAGATTTATTTAGATTTTAGAGAGTTTAGCATATAGCCACGATGGAAGGCACTGGTGAGCACAAACATTGGCTCACTAATTTGGAGATTGTTCAGCTTTAAAGTCTCAGACAAGCATCAGAAAGATGCGTTTTGTAAAGTGTGTCTAAAGCAAGTCCCGACTAAAAGTCGGAGCACCACAAACCTCTTTCACCATCTCAAACAGAGTATGAGAATGAGTGGTGGAGCAAGACGGCTTTGAACAACTGTTAAAAGTCCATGGAAGTCTATGGAAAAAGATATTATTTTGTTTGTCTGAAACTTTTCTGTTTACATATTAATTGGACAGCTGTGTTTTTTGTTTATTTGAGATATATATATAGCTATAGCGTATTAGGGACGTCCCGATCCAGCTTTCTGATACCGATCCCGGCCTATCAGAGCCTGTACGAAAGTTTAAAGTTATTTATCTACTTACTTAGCTGTCAGACTCATGTTGAACAGGGATTTACTCTGACAACAACTTAATGGTTAGGATACAGACCTGTGGGTTACAGATTACATTGAAATGGCTCCGACACACACAGAACTTCCAAGTACACAAGCTGCCCAGTACAAGAAACTGGAGCGACTGAGAAACTCCCAACAGGTTTCCTGTTTCCTATGAAAGCGACACATCTGAGTTTGACTGTAAACAGATGCCAGTGGCAGCTGTCTGGGTTAGGGTTAGCCACAGGCCTCCCTCTGTCCCACAGCAGCCCCACACCTGTCCTTCCACAGCACATGTCACACAGGCCGGCTGCCCCCTACAAATGGGGCTGCTGTGCACCAGTCTGCCCACTGGAGCCCTCCCAGTACAGTCCCAGTTCAGCCAGCTCACACGTCCGTGTGTCAGGAACCTGTCAAATACAACTAATGTAGGGTGACCAGGAACTCTGCCTCCAGATGGATCCAGACAGGGTTTTCAGATGTTCATGAACAGGCTTTATTAGACCTCAATGGGACTAAAAGAACTTTGGT